CAAATGACCCTTTAACTCATGTATGCAAGGTAGAATTGCTTCACTTGGATGTCCTTGTGCCCTTATATGCCAGACAAACCCCAGGAAAACTGTAGTGTCTGCTTGGGCTTTGGTGAGGGAAATATTCCATATTCCTTCAAGCAGAGAAACAAACTGAATTGTTCCGAACATTTGGGGTGAGTTCTTCAGCCACTCCACATGGCAGAGCCAGGACAGGGCACGAACCATTTCTTTGGACATGCTTTGGAGAATATAGTGGAGATCGTGCCATCATAGGACTGTTTGCAGAAGCAGAGCTAGCAGTTACACTGTAAAAATAAAAAAAATGTAGTTATCTAAAAATATTCTCTCCGTCTGTACAGAAAGACCTCTCAGGCTATGCTAGAAGGTCTCAGACATGATGTAGAGGCTTAGCTGCTTGGGTTTTAAGGTAGAGGTACTTCTCTACAAGGCCAAAGGCAGAACCTACAGCCCTTGGGGAAACCTTATACCATTTATTGAAATATAAATGAAGATTAATCCTCTCCAGGGGTAGGCAAGATAAATGAATGGGGGTTTTGAGGACTGCAGTAACTCCCACACAATGTATCTCATTTTCTCTTTGAATACCTACCTCAATCATTCTGCACCATATGCATTCACTTATTCTTTCTGCTGTATGTATGTATATGTAAACTCAAGCTTTAGGGCATAAACCAGTGTTTAGCTTTCTATAGACAAGGAAAGCTTCTTAATATTAAGCTGTCCATTATAATAAACAGGATTATTAATTGGAAGAATTCATAATGATTCACTGTGGGATTCCAGTGCTCCTCTTCTTTAAAATTTATATTTATAACCCGACCAAGTAATATTTTCCTGCCTACAGAGAACTTTGCAAACCTTGCATTCATTTTCATTCATATTATTAGACTAAAAGTATTTTAAACTCCTACACCACCCTGCTTTAACATATGGAAAAAAACACCCCTGATTTCCACCTGGAAAATAATTTTTAAAAGTCTAATTTTTTTCATTCAGCTGTTTTACTTAACAAAGAACAATATTCAAAGGGTATGGATACATCCAGAATATGTTCCCTTTAAACATCATCCCTTTCCGGGGGAAAGTGAAAATGGGTACAAAGGTACTGGGGGGATGAACTCACATGCAGTCACAGTGTTTAAATTCCCTGACAATTTGTTCCTTAAAGCTTCTGTCTCTGGGTTACTTCCTCTTCCTCCGGTGGATATTTTCTCCCATCTGCTGTATTTTACTGAGATACTACATTTCTTTTGTTGTCTTTGTCTCCTTTCCAGTGCCTTACACTCTGAGATCATGTAGTGAAATGCCTCATTTTGCTGGCACAGATCTTCATGCTAACAATATAGAGCTGGCCCGGGGGTCTGGCAAGGGCAGATGCTGCTGCCAAGTGGGACAAGCCCAGCTGAGGACACCCAAAGTCATTCCCGGCCTCCAGCCAAGGGGTCGGGGAGTTGCTTTGTAGCCGAGTTGACGTAGCCACCGGTGTCGGGACCAGCAGAGCTGTCTGCCAGGTTTCACAACTGGCGCTGCCTGAATGCCATTGTAGGAGCCTTGCCATGAGGGCAGGAATGGGGAAACAGAGACTGAAAATGAGTCTGTCACCCAAGTCTCATGTAGTGGCAAACCCGAACTGCATTCAGTGCACACGCGCTTTCCCTGATCAGAATATCTTCGTCATATGTGTGTGCTGAGATTTAGAGTCTGAGCAAATCATTCAAAGCTGTTGAAGTTGCTGGATTTCAGATCTATGAGAAGCTTTTTTGGTTGCTGCGTCTCATAAACCAGGAAAACCTAAGATTTACCATCACAAAGCACTCTTCTTAAGTTCAGAATATCAAACACACAGGTACAACATTTCCACACATGATGCTGTACAGCTGTACGTGTGTACCTGTGCAGCTGTATTTGAGCACAATTAGACAAAGGAAGGAATCTGATTACTCTGCAATTGGAGTCAATGCGTCTGTTGTATTGTTCCAGGGAGAATAGCACCGTCTCCCAGGCAGGGCAGAAACTTCACTTTGAACTTCCTGAGTTGACAAGGGCTTAAATCAGACCTGTAACGTTACTTTGATGTCATTTATTGTGGTTTAATACCCCTCTTTATTTATTTTTTTACAACCGTGTAAAATATATAAAGAAACCTAATCTGTTAGGGAGGTGTACGAGAATTTACTCTATAGACCTTAATGGTTCCTTTATGCAGCTATAAAACACGGGGAAGCTATAAGAGCAGTCTGAACTGGACTAGGAACTTTAAATGTTATAGAAATTTATTTGTCATAGTCAAAGGTTTATTGCTGTAGGTATTTACCTTCCCTATTGTTTAACTTGGTTGTGTCTTTCTCAGACATCTGTGGTAAAAATATGTTGTACAAGGAATTAAGGAGAGTTTAAAAGCAGGGATGAATAAGACAAATCTGCTCTTGGAAGTATATTCTAAATCTGGAGTAACTTTAGTGATATTAACACATTTTTGCTACTAACAATCCTGAACCCTTGAAACATAAATATGGCTATGATAGAGTTAATCCCCCCCCAGCTAATCTGGAATAATTCAGTGAAGATGATGATAGAATTTTTCTTAATTTCCATCCATAGAAATCAAAGAAGATGGTCCCTACATTAAGTAGGGTTTTCAATCTCACCTTTAAAGTATTAGCGATCTAATACCTTCTTGCTGTATATTACAGATAAGCAGCTGAACAGTATTTAGCGAGTGCATATAGTCACAGGTGGCGTGTTGCTGTAAATCAGAATAGCTCCTCTGAAATCAGCACAATCTGTTTTGTTTCACACTGGCTGTGGGTCTAGCCCACGTGCTCACAGCATTTTGCGAAGGTATGTGTCCACTGGTGTCTAACATTTTGTGTTCTTCAGGTAGACAATTTCTGAAAGCTTTAATAAAGCATAGGAGACCACAAAGACATTTTTTAAATCGTGATACATCAAACCAGACAGGGCAAAGAACAGTCCTACTGAAAAAGTGGTGTGATTAAATTTGGCCAGATGCAACACTGAGAAAATTCTGAATTGTTTAATAATGCAAAAATCATTGGTCAGTTTTCATTTATGCAGAGTAAAAGTCAGATGCTCTGTCTGAAACACAGAATATCAGAGTTTAAGAAAGGATCTATTTCAGTTTTGTTCATTTTTGATGTTACATGAATTTGCAGCATTTGCCCACTTTTATTCTTACAGGCATTGAATTATTTACACTCTTTAATGGTTTTTCCATAGTTCTTTTACTTTTTTCCATAGTTCTTTTACTAAAAGCATCAAAGGACAACAGCATTAAGAGCACTATTGAAACATACCTTGTAATTTTGATGATTTATGCCAGGGATTTGTTTAGTACCCTACCCCTGTGTAAGTGGAAAGCAGTCTGTGGATACATATATGTATAATAAATATATGTTCATATTTATACATGTGTGGAAGGAAGACTATGTATACACCAGAAATTGCATGAGTTTTTATTAAAAAAGATCAGAAGGGAAAGAATTAAGAGAGACCCATGGTAACATCCATCTCTATTTCTTTCAATTTTCTGTTGAATTAGCTTAACTATCTCTATGTTTTCTCTTCCATCTCAATTGGAAGGATAACTTAATTTATCAGCAGTAAGCCAAGGACATAGTAAGATTCTGTATGCTTTTCTCTGGATGCTCTTTTTAATACACACCATTATCTATTACACAGATAAGCAACAAAATTGGAAGAACAATGTTGTTTCAGTACAGTCCTTTGTGTAAGGCAGGGAATCGGTATTTTATCTGTGTAAATTCATTGCTTTTCCCTGTGGTGGCCTAAGGCATGCCTCAAACTGCACATGCATTTTCCTGGCAAGCCATTGTTCTGTGTTTGAAAGTTTCTGGTTTAATTAGCAAGCAAGTTACAGAGATGGATGATGCCAGTGGATGAGATTTCTGTGAAGGCAGTAGCTCGGGTGTTATTTCATGGGCCCTGGTCCACCTGGAGAGGTACAGCTCTGCTGTACCAAAGAAGTCATCAAATATGCCTAGAAAAGTTTCCTTTATTTTTAACACCAATTTTACTGAAAATAACTATTTTATTTCAATGTTCTTATTCTTCTCCTGTTTAAAATCTATTATTTGTAGTTGTCAGTAGACCAATTTGCAGGCATTGACGTATTTCTTTTCACTGTTAGACCTGACTGAAATAAAAATATTAGATAAACAGAAAAAGTTGACGTCTTGACTATCAGGTTAGACATTTCCATTTTAATAACATTAGGCATTGATAATGACATTTTTGTTAACAGATAACAGATAATGTTTGTACTAGGGACTATTAGTGTTGCTACTAAGTTTTTATAGAATTACTTGTGATGGATCATTTACTTAGGTAGAAAGTGTAAAGTCCAAGTCTTAGAAAGCTCACATTCTAGGGGCTGCCAATAATTGCATTAAAGTTTAGCATATGCATTCATCTTTGTAAAGCTGGCCCTTAAACACAGACAGTGGGGGTGAGGCAGCATTCATATTATTGTTAGAAATGTTATGTCAATGATTTGGTTTTCATCAGCTCCTTCCATCTGGCCCATCTTTCTTCTAATTGTTACTTAATTGAATACAAGCAAACAGTTGGTCCATTTTTCTTCATTATTTCATTCTGACACATTTCTATAAATGGGTTTTGTCTTACAAACATGGCAATAGCATAAATTACAAAGATAAAACATGTCTGAAACAGAAATTAGGATTTTTTTTCTATGTAGTCTTTTCTTCAGGGGTGGATGCTTTATTAAATGGCAACCAAAGATATTTAAATGAGAAACTAAATCAAGCTATTTATTAGATGTTTAGCAATAAACAAGCTTATAAACAGCATGAAATGATCACGCTTTTAAAATCTGTTCATTCAGCCATACATCCCTAACACAGAAGAGTTCCCATTAGTCATAATCACTGAATTAACTCTGTGGATAATTTTTTTTTCCCTTTTCTTTTCAGAGAGAATGTGCTAATTTCATCAAGGTGCTTAAGGCTTACAACCAAACCCACCTGTACGCTTGTGGAACAGGGGCTTTTCATCCAGTCTGCACCTATATTGAAGTTGGAAGCCATCCTGAGGTAAACTATCGTAAAACAGTATTTTTCTTTTCCTTCTTTTTAATCTTTATTGGTGTTTAGCCATGATCTCTTCCTGCCAAAATGCAGTCTCAATAGTTTCTGTGGCTTGGTGAGTGGATCTGGTAAAACCTGCTCCTGAATCAGGTGCTGATGTGCTGATTGATAAATCACAGCAGAATCTGTACTTTTCTCCCCTACACAGCATCTTTTTCCCCCAGGGGCTTAAATAAATATGAGTAAGCTCATCTTACTTGGTTCATGAAGTTAAAAGCACGCTCCTTTTTTTTGGTCAGGACAGACACCAGCTATAAGAAGGTTAGTTCAGCTTCTGTGTTTATTCTGGGGCCAACTCTGCTCTTTAGTCTCCTACTAGTCAGTACACTCTGACACCACGGCAGCTTTCTCCTAGCTGGGAATTAAAACAGTGTCACACATTCATAAATCCCACTTCTCAGATTTGTCCTAACACAGTGACAGTTTTTTGTATGTGACCTAGGTTTTGTTTCCTTACTTTTTATTGAAAAATAAATCACTTTTCCTCTCTGTCTTCCCCCATTGTTTAAAATCTGTAGCTTGCTGATTTTTGCTTAGTGTTGCAGAAATCTTGCAGTAGCTCTTGTACTGTTTTGTCAGTGATCGTCATAACTAAGTAGATAAGCATGGTCTTCCCTGGTGAAAAACACTATCACTCACAGAAAGGAATGCTGTTTTCTGTGGCTGAAGATTTGACTAGAATGTCTCTGTGCTCCGTTTCAATACTTTTTGTCTCCAGAAATTTTTTTTTTTTTTTTTTTTTTTTTTTCCCCTGTTAAAATGAGTATGTAATATAAATTAGTCCACTTCAGTTTGTTCTCAGTCTGGCTTACCTGAGTATTGCTCGATGGCCTGTTTCAGTTTAGCAGCCAGACTCTTGATGTGTTTTCAGCAGTCACTAATTTATGGATATGTTTTACGGGTGAATCCATAGCTGTGTTACTTGTAGCTTCTGAGATCACTGAAGAATAGCTCTTTCAAGTCACCTTATGGTTTTGCAATCCAGGTTTGCAGATTTCCCTGAAAATAAAGACATCTTTGTTAAACGAATGAGGACTCGTTTTTTTTAAGATTAGAATTAACAGATCTTTTGAGTGTTGACTTTATAGTCTGGGAACCATTTTTTCCTATCAAAATGTCTTTTGATATTTGAAACATGAGTCTTTAAAATGTTCTAAGCATAAGGTTTTGAAGGGATAAAAGAGCTGCAAAGTAGAAAGGTTTTTTCTCATATTCTTTAATGCTTTATTCCAGAATGCATTCTTGGCAATTAGTGATTGTCTCTTGACCACACACAGTATGTCATTGCTTACTGCATTAAACAGATTCTCTGCTTCCTGAGATCCATTTGGGAATTGGTAGACATATTAATTAACTCTAGTTCCGTAAGATGTGTGTCAATCAATTCTTGGCTATCTGCCAAGCGAATCTATCTGCAGAGAGATAGCTGGTATGAGGTCATTTACTTCTACATTTGGCTGGTTTATGACTGTACTATAAAACTAACACACACTTTATCAAGGATTTATAGAAAGGATGATCGGGGATGAGAGGCCAGTTCCAACCTTGGTTTAACATTCTGGATTTTGAAGTCGGTGATGTGTTTGGCCCTGGAGCTGAAAGAGGATGTTTGGTTTAGCTTCTTTTAAGTAGTCCCTAACTATAAACAAAACCTAAATTGTTGTTTTCTTTGGTCATTTATGCAGTAAGTTTGTTAGTCCCCCTGAGCCTGAATCACTCTCATGACGCTGGGTTTCATCTTCGCAAACCAGGGAAGTCAGGAGTATGTTTATCTGAACTGCCTCAGACACTCTTAGATTTTGATTTCCTTTTCATACATAAACTATGAGTGAAATCATCTTCACCTGCCCTTCAAGGGGCACAAATTTCTGTATCCTCTGGACACTGGTGCATGAGGGGTCACTGCCTTCTCAGACCAGGTCTGCCCATGCAGAGAGAAAGTGGGGCAGGCAGGAGGCAGCAGTACCCACCACTTCTCAGGCTTTGACAAATCTGACAGTCAGCCTGTCTTCTGTCCCTTGCAAAAGTGAAAATCAAATGAATAAATTAATTTATCAGATTTACAATGAAAGATATTCTGGCCTGTCTCTGTCTCTCACCTAGAGCCTGCTCTTTCCTCTTCCTTTCTCATACCACCCAGCCAGGAATTTCAAATGTGCATCTCCTCTGGGAGCTGGGAAAAAGGAGGGTGCTTGATTGACAGTAGCTATTAGAGACACCACGAATGGGGGGGGGGGCTATAAAATATTAACCCCTGCACCCCTGCACACTGCATCTGTGAGAGCCAGATGGCTTATGTTGTCAAGTCAGACAGCAGCACTGGACGTGTCAAAGGGCTACTGCTTCTGTATCATGTATAGTTTATACCTCCCTAGCATACTAAAATAGGTAAAAACTGTAAACGAAGGCAAGTGGTTGATTTTGAGTTAAAAAATTGCCATCTGAAACATTTCCTGAAGATTCATTTTCTGCCACACTTGTGGAAAATTAACAGACTTCACCATCTGCTTATTTATTTTTCAAGCACTTAGAGAGGTAAATGTGAACTGATTAGGGGAATTGTCAGGGAATGTACCTACTGTCTAATAAGACTGCTTGTTTATGTGAGCTCTCAGTATAATCCACCTGCCCGAGTCCAGTGGAGGAGAGGAAATTAGTGTGTGCCAAACTGAAGGGGATGGAGAAGTGAAATTTAAAGAAAAGAGTGGCAAGCGATAGAGTAGACACTGGAAGCAATTGGAGTAGGCTGCAGGAGGCTGGAACATGGTACAACTTTTATGACTGGGGGGAGGAAATAAATTACTTTGTGTGACAGTCATAAAGTAATGGGAATATGAATTGTTATATCTGTTGAATATCTCTTCTATATGAAGCAGCATATCACAGCCTCATTCCATACTTGAATAAAACCATTTCCAGTGATGAAACTAGGCAGGTCGAATTGAGTTTGATGAAGTACAGTATCAGAAATAATAATAAAAAGGTAAAAGGATATGAGTAGCATGCTGTGCATCTGATTAAAAATGATCTGCGCAAATGTATACAACCTAATATGTTGTGAATTACACCGCAGTCTAAGGAGTAAAGCAGACTAATCTTCACTTAAATCCATTCCAGATGTGTAAGTGAATAACCACAGCATTTAAAGAGAAGAATAAAGTTAATGTTTGAATAGACTTTAAGCATGTAAGACATGAGTAAGCAGGAAAGAACATATTTAGAGAGAACGTAGCATGTGTATACACAGAAAATACCTGCAGAGAGCCTAATTTAAAGCTTGAGATCATCCATTGGGGAGGCTGTATATATGTACTTTCACTGAATGGGGCAAACTGGTGCATTTGCAGATGTCTATATTGTATATGCATGCGTTTAAGTGAGATGACCTAACACAGACACCTACACCAACTTCAGGGATCCGGGGTTAGGCAACGTGTGGCCTTCTCTCTACATAACGCAATATAATACAAGAAACCAATTACCAGACAAAACAAGAAAGTAATTAGTAAAGCTATGTCCTGCTCCCACTGACTTCTGAGGAAACAGGATTGGATGTGTAGGAATGTTGTACTTAGCAATTGCAAAATTACACAAGTCAGATCTGTGCTTGAAAGGAACAAATCCAACTGCAGGGAGACACAGAGGTGCATTAAACCCACTAGAAAATCACAACAGGATGCAGAATGCACCTGCCTGTGCAAGCCTGAGCAGGGGGAAGGACCCCTGCTCCCCTTCCCCAGGGCTCCCTTTGGGGTAGTTCGTGTGAACCAGCAGGGAACAGTCCTGTTAAGGAAAGAACAGGATTTTCCATTTACTTAACCCTTACATACAGGTGGAGGTATAGGGAATGCCCTATAGAACCTTTTTTTTTCCATGCGCAGACTGGTGTTGCAAGAGCTGTACAAAATTGTTTGCCAGATTCTCAGCAGGAATATATTAGGTTTTCTTCAACAGAGGTAAATCAATAGACACTGTCTGAAGAACTAACCCAGCTTCTTTCTTTGTCTCCCAGTTCCAAATTTCTTGTCATTGTCTAATAGATTAAGCCTCATTTTTAACTGGATGAACTTAAAAGATCTGGGATCACTTTACTTGCAGGTTATTTCTCATTCTTAATCAATAAAGAAGCTCTAAATTTAGGTCAGATTTATGGTGTACATAAAACATTAAGTTATTGCATATGAAGTTATATAACGCTACCACCTGTAACATATTTGCTTTTTCCGGACTCTGTATTTTACAAATCTTTGGGTTAACTCATAAAATTTTGCTGAATTATACATTCCACTTTTTTTTTTATCCCTCCTCTACTTCACATTAGAAGATGTCTACAGTGCATTTTCTAAGTAATGGATATCCTGTTCTGATACATTTATGCATCTTGTCTTTTTTGTTTGTCTGTATATATGTCTGTATATGTTATATATATGTATGCAGTGATGGAAGAGCAGTTTTTTCCCTAAGAGAATGACTGTGAAGGAACACATTACTTGAAGGACCAGTGCTACCGTTGGTAGAAAACATGTTGTGTTTCATTGTCTAACATAAAATTCAGGGTGAATCATTGACTTCAGTAGTAGCAGATGTGGCATAAATTGGCCTAACTTCATTGAAGACAGCAGAGCTGTATCAGTTTACATCAGTTAAGATTCTGACCTGTGGTTTTCAAGTGAAACATTTGAGCAAATGATTTTTTAAGTTATGAATCATCTCAGGCTAATTTGGTTTCCATCTAATTAATTATACTTTTATATGGCATTTATAAGCTTACTAAGTATATAGAGAAAATATGAAGGGAAAGGATGCTGTGAAAAGATTATTCTCATTTGTGATATAACAATTGTGTGATAGAACTATTATTTGTGCCATGCTAGTTCTAAGCATCACTGCAATCACAGAGAAATGCCAATAAAGGGAGATCTAGTTTACAGATTGTAACAGCCTAT